GCACGACTTTCGTCTTCCGAGCACGCTGGAAAACCTGCCGAAAATCGTATGATTTTCGGCGGGTTGGCGGCGTGCTCGGAGGACGAAAGCCGCACACTGCCGCTCAGCATTGCAATCATCGGCAAGTACGATCTGTCTGTCCGAGATGGGCAGATCGTACGAAATTTGAATGACCTTACAACCATCGCACAACGAAAGTCGTGCGATGGTTGTAAGGTGTATGGCCAGCCTTTTTTGGAGTCCAAGTGATACCCTCTTTTCAGCGTGCAAGCTTTAGGATTCCTGGAAACCCTTCTCTAGGCTCTGTACACAGGGTTTCAGAATCATTTTCAGAACCCCACAAGGCCACCGATGCCAGGCCGAGGGGCAGCAGGGCGCCAAGGGGCGGCAGCGGCATGGAGTCCCCCGACAGCCGGAACATACAGTTTCGGGCGCCGGGCGGTAAGTTGCCTTCTACATTTAGTCCTGCTTTGGGAAGGCAGGACTAAATGTAGTGTGGGGAATCCGCTCGCTCGTTAACAAGTGATTGTGGCGATAATGTGTTCTGCCGTCCGTCCTCCCGCCGCCCCCTCACCTACCTCTGTCTGCTGGCTCTGTCTTCGGGACTCCGCCCTCCCCCCGTCCACCGAGTCTCTGTCCTGTCCCTGCTGCCGATCCGTGTACACAGTGAGAGGGGAGAGCAGTGCTGTGCTAGAACTCCTGTTTTGGAGGTGACAGGGTCAATAAAGAGAACCTGTCACCTCCGATTGCTATCACACAGGGGATTGTTTTCTCCTGTGTGATAGCAATAAAGTTAAGTGAAAAAAAATGGTAAAAAATAATTCGCGGTGTGCAAGTATGTTGGAGATAAACTACAAGGTCCTCATGCGATGGTACCTGGTGCCATCCAGAGTCGCCACCTACAACTCTCAATGTTCGCCTAACTGTTTCAGAGGTTGCCCGGATCCAGGTACGTTTATACACATATGGTGGCGATGCCCTATGGTCTCAAGCTTCTGGGATGAGGTCTTTGCCCTCATAGCCTCAGTGGTCTCCGTGACGCTGACTAAAGACCCAGTTTTTGCCCTGCTAAACTGTAAACCAGAAGATCTCCCCAATAAGGCTTTTAGACTCTCCCTCCATATTCTCTCTTCTGCTAAGAGAGAGATCGCACTAAACTGGCTCACAAACTCTCTTAATATCTCACATGTGATCACACACATTCATTGGATCATGGCCCAAGAAAAGCGCACGGCACAATTGGAAAACTCTATGCACAAATTCGAAGCAATCTGGTCCCCGTGGATCGATAAATTCTTTAATTCAATTGCCTCCCGGCGGCTCTGCCACATTTGAAGCCCTTCTCAATGCTCCATTGTCGACTGTCCCCTCCGTCAATAGATACGGTCCTGAACCTTCTTCTTTTCCCCTTCTCTCCTCCTTCCTTCTTCTCCGTCCTGTCAGATTTTGTCCTCCTATGTCTCCCCATGTCTTGTGTTATATGTTGTTGCTAGTATGTTAGAGCTGCACAGGTCCTGATTTCTCTGACTGCTGATAGCACTAGATGAAGCTGAGCCATATGTCATCCATCCTAAGTCACTCAATATCAGGTACCAATGTCTTAAAACAGGAGCTCTAAGTGCTGGAGTATTTCAAGGTTGGACTAGGGCCGATACCGATTTAGCTTGTATACTTTGGCCAAGGAGTCCTACTTGTTATAACGACCAAAGCTGTGTACTTCTATTACTGCTTTGAATTTCATGCACCGTATGTTGATAGTGCTTGACCTGTTTACCATAGATGTATGATTCTACTGCAACATGTATGTGTTGTATTCTTTGTTAAACTCAATAAATATTCATTTGAGAAAAAAAAAAGTAAAAAATAAGAAGAATATTGAAAATAATTATGAAAAATAAATCAACAATAAGATAGAAAATTATAAAAAAAAATAAAACAAGCTCAAAATGTAAAAAATAAATAAAGATAAAAAAGTGATAAAAAACTAAGAAAGAATAAAGAAAAAAAATTAGAACTAACCCTGCCATCCGCTTCCATTCTCCGTTGATTGGAGGGGGGGGCGTGTTGGCGGGGAGGGGGCGCATTGCGGAACCTGGCCTTGGGGCGGCAGGGAGAGCAAATCCGGCCCTGGATCTAAGGAATCCCGAAAGCTTGCATCTTTAATATCTTACGTTAGCCAATAAAAGATGTCACCTGAAGGACAAAATGTCTGCACAAAGAAATGCAATATAAAGCAACACTGCTGCCATCTGGAGGTACGTTTTAAGAAAGTACAACACACATGGAAATAATAGCGTGTTTCTATATTAAATCAGAGGAGGATCATGAGTCAGGTGCCATCTTACCACGCAATTATAAAGCTATAATAAATAAATCTCAGGGGCAGGGCCCTCCTTACCATCTTGTCTTGAATTGTATTGTGATTGTAATGTCTTCCTTATATTGTAAAGCGCTGCGCAGACTGTTGGCGCTCTATAAATCCTGTATAATAATAATATATATTGTATAATGAAACATCAAACATGTCTACATGGCAAGAAAGTGACATATTATTATGAATTATCCATAAAACAATGAACATCCACCCCCATATTCAGAGCCTTAGAAGCTAAGGGAATTAAAGGAGAACTATGGGGTCAGGGCTTTTCCCCATAGTTCTCCTTAGGGTCACGGGAGGACACAGACTAGCGTCCTCCAGTCACCCTAGGCTCAGTATATAGGGAGCTACAGCTCGCGGTATACTGAGACGTCGCAGCTGAAACGGATCCTGACAATTATGTCTGGATCCGCCCAGCTGCGTGAGTGACAGCTGGCTCTGCCTATCTAGAGGTCGTCACCAGGGTTGGTTAACTCCGCAGTTAACCCTTTACACACCAAACGTTCACCACCACCACGTACTTTAACGCAAGTGCACACCGATCCCAGCAAGTGCTGTGGCACTTTACAAAAAACGTAAACAAAGCCTATGATACCGTTGTCCTCTCAGACAGGAATATGGCAGGGTTCACTATACAGTAGCGCTCTTCACAGAGGCAAGGATACTTTAAGTTCGTATTTAGAGCATAGAGATAAGCTTAAAGGAGAACTATGGGGTCAGGGCTTTTCCCCATAGTTCTCCTTAGGGTAACGGGAGGACACAAACTAGCGTCCTCCCGTCACCCTAGGCTCAGTATATAGGGAGCTACAGCTCGCAGTATACTGAGACGCCGCAGCCGGAGCGGATCCCGACAATTATGCCGGGATCCGCCCAGCTGCGTGAGTGACAGCTGGCTCTGCCTATCTAGAGGCAGAGCAAGTTGTACCCGCACCCTCCCCCGTCCGTTCCGCCAGTCTGCGCTGGAGGATCGGAGCGGGGAGGGGGGAATCCAGCCCCTCCCCTGTCACGGCAGAGAGCCGTGACAGGATCGAGAAGTGAGCGAACGCCGGTATGCGCTCCCTCACTTTACGATCTACTGAGCCGACCTGTGACAGTCTCATTGTCACAGGTCGGCTAGAACTATGAGGTGAGGGAAAAGCACTGACCCCATAGTTCTCCTTTAAGGTGGTAGATGCAGAATGTTTAATTTTTTTACACTTCCATAGTCAAGTTGGAACCCCTTCAACTCTGAAATAATCTATCAGTCCCACAGAAATGTAATCCATAAAGATTCCTATAATGAGGAGTCTTGAAGTGCAATGTTAAATTATTATTATATTATTGAAACATTCACTTAATATTACCCTTCATTTCCTCATGGTACGGCCCACTTCTGATACCCACAAGGGCAATTGAAAGGTACATAACATGGGTTGTGTCACATGATATGAAGGGCTTAATCTGATGAAGCCCCGGTAAAGGGAGCCTTTCAGAACCACCGAGTATTGGACATTCAACAACTGGGGCCAGACACCTGGAATTAACCAGATAATTGCCACTATAATTCCAGCCAGGCTGACTAAAGCCCCGGCCATCACAAATATGTCTAGTGGTCACATCACAGAAGGTGATGGCGGCTACACTATACATAGGGTTGCCACCTTTTCTTCAAGCAAAACCCGAACACTCTAGCGATGCGCGGACATTTTTTGGGGAGATTGAGTCACGGCTTATTCATATGTAAATATCGCAGTAGAAACTATTTTCAGTGGGTTACCAGTAGTCCCTATCTTAATTTTGGTTGCCCCTGTCTGCCTGACATCTTGTGTCCGGGTTTCTGCTGCCATGAAACCCGGACACAGCATTCAAAACCCGGACTGTCCGGGTGAATCCCGGACAGGTGGCAACCCTAACTATACAGGACTGCAAAGCCACCCAGTAACAGAATGTGCTTTCTGGAACCGCTCAGCCCCTCTGGCTGAGAGTCCTGGGTGACTATTTTGCCAAATGACACCGTGGCATTGCCACGCGCTGCCACACAAGGTACTTGAATAAAAATCTGCTGTATTACTTTTGTAATCCAGCATGCACTGGTGATGGCTGATGGCCGTGGCTGGTTGTCTGTTCTTTGTTTTCCAATTCTTATTCTTATTATACTTAAAATAAAAATATATATATATATATATTTTTTATTTGTATGCTGTAATTATTTATGTAACCTTGCGTCAGACCTTTATTAAAAAAGAAAACCTAGGCAGGGGAACAATTGGTCCCAAGCATTGAACTATGGTCGGACTGTCAGCCGAAAATCTGGGTGTGAACGTGCGAATTGTGGCCGTCAGCGACTAGTCAATGTTAGGGCAGAACGGGGGAGGGGCAAGACTGGTACAAGACAACAGAAGGGCAACAGTTCAGTGTCAGATTCCTCGCATCACCTTTCATCATCTCGTGGAGTCACGAGGCGGCCCAACGAAGTACTGATGGGGTGGTCATAATAATCTGGCCACTCAGTGTATAGAGGAATGTAAGAGGCTGATAGCAAATTAAATTGAGGCGTGGACATGGCTTGCTTTTAGAAAAGGCATTTATTGATAAGACACGGATGTATTCAGTTCTATCTTTTATATCTGTATCAATTTCAGCTTCAACAGCATTCAAACTTGACGTCATTCAGAGCCGTGTCGTCTCCCCTTCCTTGGGGTCTTTCCACTCTGGTGGTGATACCACAAATTCCAACTGGGCAGGCGCCACTCCAGCTTCCCCAGCCCCCCCAAACTCCACCGTTTCCTTCCAAAATATTTGGATCGGAGCACAGAAATTGGATGTTGTTTGCTGCCGTGTCGTCTCCTCTGCCGATGGAACCCTCAACCCTCAGGGAAAAGCTGGTGAGATACCCAGAGGGGCACCATCGTTCTCCAGTCCAACCTCCCCAACTGTTTAAAGACATGAAGGATGACCGGTCAAACAATTTTAAAATCTCCTTAGAGGAGAACGATGGGGGCAGGGCTTTTCCCCATAGTTCTCCTTAGGGTAATGGGATCACACAAACTAGCGTCCTCCCGTCACCCTAGGCTCAGTAAACCTCGAGCTGTAGCTATACGGAGACGCCGCAGCCGGGTCTGCCCCATATTGCAGGACCGGACCCCACTGAGGCTGTGGGGGTGCCCAGGACTGGACCCCACTGGGCCCACCCACAGCCTCAGGCCCCGGTGCGGCGGCACCGGCGGTAATTCTGCCACTGGTCAGAGCTATACAAATGTATAATAATAGAGTGTGACTGTGGAGGGGACATTAGAGTGTAACCTCCTCTGTACAAAGACTGATGTGACTTTGGGGGGGACATTAGAGTGTAAGCTCCTCTGTACAGAGACTGATGTGACTGTGGGGGAGGGGACATTAGAGTGTAAGCTCCTCTGTACAGAGACTGATGTGACTGGCTCAGTGTTCTCTGTACAGCACTTTGGTATATGGCAGAGCTATACAAACTTAGCTGTACACAGAAATAATAATTATATTCAAATTCTAAGTGTGGTCATCTTCCCCAACATAGATAATATGAAACTGGGGGCTCCGATATGGTGAGAGGGCCACCATGCTGGAAGGAGCAGAGTGACCCCACTGGAATCCCTCCCTAATGGCCACCAAACGTTACAGCGTTGGGGGGATGTGGAGCTCTTGGATGTTGTGATACATGTAAAGTTGTGTGGACATACCTTCCTTTAGTTGAGGATATTGTTCCTCTTTTGACTGTATCGGAATAATAATCACAATAAAGCTCGATCCCGTTAAGAGCTGTATCATCTCCTTTTCCTTGCTGCTCCTCTACCTAAAGGGGAACAAACAAAACGAAAAACTCGATGAATATGTCCCAGAAAAATTTCACAGAAACTCTTATTACAAACTGAAACAATCAATATGTCACCAGTATAAAAGGTATGTCAAATGTAACAATACCCCCAACAAGTAAACCGCCCTTTTTAGTAGGGATGCACTGATACTTTTCGAGTACCAGTGCCGATACTTGGCATTTTCATGAGAACTACCGGGGTTGCAGCGGTTGCAGCTGGGACCGGGCTCTGGCGCTCCACCACTGTCCCGAAATCATTAGTCTGTATTGTTTTAGAAAAACTGTCACATGACAATAAACAAAAATGTATCAGTACTTGTGTCTGTGAGGACTTGGGCAAGTATCAGTACTGGTATCTGTGAGGACTTGGGCAAGTGTCAGTACTTGTATCTGTGAGGACTTGGGCAAGTATCAGTACTTGTGTCTGTGAGGACTTGGGCAAGTATCAGTACTTGTGTCTGTGAGGACTTGGGCAAGTATCAGTACTTGTATCTGTGAGGACTTGGGCAAGTATCAGTACTGGTATCTGTGAGGACTTGGGCAAGTATCAGTGCTTGTGTCTGTGAGGACTTGGACAAGTATCAGTGCTTGTGTCTGTGAGGACTTGGGTAAGTATCAGTACTTGTATCTGTGAGGACTTGGGCAAGTATCAGTACTTGTGTCTGTGAGGAGTTGGACAAGTATCAGTACTTGTGTCTGTGAAGACTTGGGCAAGTATCAGTACTTGTGTCTGTGAGGAGTTGGACAAGTATCAGTACTTGTGTCTGTGAGGACTTGGGCAAGTATCAGTACTTGTGTCTGTGAGGACTTGGACAAGTATCAGTACTTGTACTCGCAAAAACTGGTATCGCTGCATCACTTTATATATGTTTATAAAAACAAAATCATACATTAAAACAGAGATGTACAAATCCCGGGAGCTCCGTGTGCTCCTTACAAATGACAGCGGCCTCCTAATGTTTGAATTTTTCTCTAGTCTGGTCTTGGAGCTCAAAAGTAACTGTACTTGTACTTGTACCGAATACGGTACTTGGTATTATGTCTGGATCCGCCCAGCTGCGTGAGTGACAGCTGGCTCTGCCTATCTAGAGGCAGGGCCAGCTGTACCCGCCCCTCCCCCATCCGTTCCCCCGGTCAGCGCTGGAGGATCGGAGCGGGGAGGGGGGAATCCAGCCCCTCCCCTGTCACGGCAGAGAGCCGTGACAGGATCGAGAGGTGAGCGAACGCCGGTATGTGTTCGCTCACCTCCCGATCTACTGAGCCGACCTGTGACCTGTGAAAAGCACTCACCTCATTGTTCTCCTTTAAGATCAAAAAAAATAGTATGACACTATTAAGTGCCATACGAGCATCCATATATAATGACTTGGATTTAAAACAAATAATAACATAATATTAATAAATGATATCCATATTATCTATCAACACCCATGTTGTCCTGGTCGAGAGGGGAAGGCCAGCGAAGAAATAAACACCACAAACTTTAGGTGTAAAATAATATATTGTACAAAGAATTGCAGTGTATATGTTGTGGGGGTTTGCAGTGTGTGATTTGGGGGTTGCAGTGTGTATGTGATGGGTGGGCACAGCCTGTGATTTGAGGGTTGCAGTGTGTACATGATGGGTGGGCACAGCCTGTGATTTGGGGGTTGCAGTGTGTACATGATGGGTGGGCACAGCCTGTGATTTGGGGGTTGCAGTATGTACCGTTCAGTGGCGTAACAATCGCCATAGCGACCCAGGCGGCCGCTATGGGGCCCGGGGCACACGGGGGGCCCGGCCAGATGCCGATCGGACGGAGATGGAGGCGGGCCCGGCGACGGAGGAGGAGACGGGGCCTATCAGCGAGCGTGGAGGAAGAGGAGGCGGACAGGTAAGGAGTGCGACCAGCCCAGATGGTCTATGGCGGGCTCTGCAGGGTCACCCTCAGGTGGGCTGTGTGGGATCTCAAGTGGGTTCTGCAAGGGGTATAACTAGAAATCACGGGGCCCCATACAAAATTTTGCTATGGGGCCCTGTGATTTCTAGTTGCGCCCCTGGTACCGTCATAAAAAACCTGGTAATATCAACTATCAGATCCAACCCTCACGCCATATCTGTGGGTCATACTAGACTACGGATGACAGGACAGCGGTATCATAGGCTTTTGTTTAAGTTTTCAAGTGTCACAGTACTTGGTGCGTACTTAAAGTACGTGGTGGCAGTGAACGCTTGGTGTGTAAAGGGTTAGCTGCGGAGTTACCCAACCCCGGTGACTATCGCTCTCAGTCTGCTGGCCTGAGATTGTTGTCCCGCGGTCTGTGAAATCTCTGTGCAGGGTGAGGCTGAGAGTGATATATCGCCACGTCCTTGTGACGCCACACTCAGTTCAGAACTGTGTATAGTCATGTGTGACTGACGTACAGCGGGTTCGGGCCGGGCGTACGTCACATACTGGTGGCAGAGGAGTGTGGGGGGTATGACAGGGGGCAGTATGTACAGGAGAGGAGTGTGGAGGGTATGACGGGGGGCAGTATGTACAGGAGAGGAGTGTGGAGGATATGACGGGGGGCAGTATGTATAGGAGAGGAGTGTGGAGGGTATGATGGGGGGCAGTATGTACAGGAGAGGAGTGTGGAGGATATGACAGGGGGCAGTATGTATAGGAGAGGAGTGTGGAGGGTATGACGGTGGGCAGTATGTATATGAGAGGCGTGCAGACATTTCCTGTTTCAGTTCCTCGTTGGAAAGAACCTCATACAGTATAATAGACATCGATTGTTACATTAGATTCCTCCATCGTGTTTTGTATTGTAGAACAACATTTGGGAAATGTCCCTTTTAATCTTTTTCTCCCTCCCGGACAGAAGCTTTCTTTGTGTCCGTTTGGTAAAGTCAGACGGAGGCATTAAAGATGAATCTGTCTCATTGTTTCTGCACTTTTATAATTATGTTTTCATAAAAGGAACTGACAGAGGACGGTGTCAGAAAAGGGAAATTATTATTGAGACATCAGAATAACTGTTTTGTGTAATATTTACCCATCCTGTGTGTGGCCGGAGGTCACTGATGCTTTAAATGGCCGGGCCAGATTTAGCTCAGTGTGTGTCGGTCACTTTGATAATTACTCCGTGACTCATTTGAATAAATATTTTTATGCTGAGAATTTTTCTTTATTTCTTTTATGAATGATCATTATCTTTAATAGTGCAACTGAATCCAACAGTTACATTGTTAAAAAAGAACTATGAGGTAAGTGCTTTTCACTCACCTCATAGTTCTAGCCGACCTGTGACAATGAGACTGTCACACGTCGGCTCAGTAGATCGGGAGGTGAGCGAATACATAGCGGCACTCGCTCACCTCTCGATCCTGTGCCGGCAGAGAGCCGTGACAGGGGAGGGGCTGGATTCCCCCCTCCCCGCTCCGATCCGCCAGCGCTGACTGGCGTAACGGACGGGGGAGGGGGGGGGACCGCTGGCTCTGCCTCTAGATAGGCAGAGCCAGCTGTCACTCACGCAGCTGGGCGGATCTCGACGTCGATGTCGGGATCCGCTCCGTAGGCGGCGCTTCAGTATACAGCGAGCTGTAGCTCCCTATATACTGAGCTTAGGGTGACGGGAGGGCGCTAGTTTGTGTCCTCCCGTTACCCTTCGGAGAACTATGGGGGAAAGCCCTGACCCCATAGTTCTCCTTTAATAAATGGCACTGCAGGCTGAAGGCTTCCCTTTTTATTACTGGGGCCTCCTGCCTGCACGTGGTCACTATATCAGAGCTAAGATAGTGGTCACATGATCCAGAACCATTCTGATTGGTTTCTGATTGTCCGTTGGTACCCCAGGTTTGAAAGTGTTGGCCTGCTTGCTCTGAAAGTGGAAGGGACGTTTATAAATGTATCCTCAGCACTGGGCATCATGTCCAGGGAACGTTAAAGCCCATTGCATCCCAAAAACAAACATGTGATGTACTGCAGCATACTAGTCCTTAGATGTGGCGTCTGCATTAGTTTTCTTTTTAAGGCTTTTTTTCCTTTACTTTTTACCTGGTGATCCTGCCAAGTAAGTCTGTTATTATTCAGCTTTCTCCAACAGGCCGAGCTGTCTAAAACTAGAGATTAGGCTGGGCTTGGTGATGAGGCTGAGCTGGGCCTAGCCCACTCAAAACTAGAGATGAGGCTGGGCTTGGTGATGAGGCTGAGCTGGGCCTAGCCCACTCAAAACTAGAGATGAGGCTGGGCTTGGTGATGAGGCTGAGCTGGGCCAAGCCCACTCAAAACTAGAGATGAGGCTGGGCTTGGTGATGAGGCTGAGCTGGGCCAAGCCCACTCAAAACTAGAGATGAGGCTGGGCTTGGTGATGAGGCTGAGCTGGGCCAAGCCCACTCAAAACTAGAGATGAGGCTGGGCTTGGTGATGAAGCTGGGCTGGGTTGGGCCAAGCCCCCTCAAAACTCTGACCACCACCCCCTCCTTCTGACCCAATCAGAGTCAGCAGTTGTGTGTGTGTGAGGGGGGGAAGGGGGGGGGCGTTCCCTGCTCCTTTGTGACGTAGAGCTGAGGGGAAGGGAATTTGCCTGCCTGCAAAGTACTTGGAAGTGACTCTCCCAAAGAGAAAGCCCCATTTTTTTGGGCAGTCCACGGTGGGTGCACAAAAACTAAACCCCTCATGAGCCAAAAAAAAGTGCAAGTGATCAAGCACAAAAAAGGAGCAGTGGGCGTGTCTAAATGGTCCATCTCCCAAAAAAGATAGGGCCCTTTTTCTGACCCTTTGGGGTGCTAGTATCCTGACGGGGCAGAGCTCTCAAGTCAACCTAGCCAAAGGTATGTAGACACCTCTACTCATAGTAAGCTGACGCCGACCAACCAGTCCTAGGTTCGGGGTTTTTTTTTTTTCTTTTGAAGCCCGTGGATTGTGCATCTAAACAAACTTCCCCCTGTGAACAAAAAAAAGTGAACCGTGAAATCACAGCACACAAAAACGTGCACAAGGGTGCAAGGTCCTTCCAAAGAAGGGACCCATTTCCCGACCCCCCGGGGCGCAAGGCTCCTGACAGGGGTTGAGATTTTTAGTCCACCGACCCGAAGGCCGATGGACCACCAATCCTTTGGGGACCTGCTGAAACAGGTTCGGGGGTTTTACCGAAGAGAGATCCCCAGTTCAGGGGAGAAAGGAGCCTGATGGCCACACAACCTCCCCCGAGAAACCAGAGTAGGCCTGAAGACCCAAACCTATCATCCTTAGGAGTGGAAAAGGTGACACCAAAAAAGTGCACAGACATGAGAAGAAAAATACTGTAAGCTGCAAAAATACAGTACAATGGCCAAGCCTTGCCAACAGGTATAAGAAATTAACTGGTTTTAGTCATAAGGCCCGGCCCAAGAGGCGAGGTGCAGTGGCCTATTGCTGTTTCACACAGTGGGGTCATAGAGAGGGTCATTTTTATAAAACAAACCCTTGTGAACAAAAAATTGAAGAGTGAAGTCGCACCACACGAAAAAAGTGCATGAAGGTGCTGTGGTCCTCCTCCAAAAAGGAAAGGCCTCAAATCCCATAACCTCCCGGGGTGATCTTTAGGGACCAGCTGAAGCCTGTCCACCGAGTACTTGGTGAGGGTTCTCCCAAAGACAGATCCTCAGTTGGGAAGGGCAAAAGACCCAAAGTTCAATGAACCCCCTAGACATCAAGATGGGCCCCAAAGTTACCCACACCCTCAGTCATCTGTGGGGTAAAAGTGCTTGTGCTAAGTGCTATAAATAAATAAGTGCCGAGCATAACACAAGGCGGGCCTTCCAGCCAAGATAAAAAATGTTCCAAGCTAGCCAAATACCTGCCCAAGCAGCATGTGCAGAAAAAAAGCTTGGAATGTCGTGATCTAGTGCCAGTATCTCACAGAGGGGTCCCAAACCCATACTGATTCTGTAGTACCACTGGGACGTGCTTGGTCCTTCAATAAAGAAGGGACCTCGATTCCCGACCCCCGGGGCGCAAGGCTCCTGACAGGGTTTGAAACTGTTGGTCCACCTACCCGAAGGCCGGTGGACCCTGATCCTTCGGGGACCTGCCGGAACAGGTCCCACACAGTACTAGGTAGGGGGCTCTCCCGAAGAGAGACCCCCCCTTGGGTGGGAGGAGACAGAGAACCCTATATGAGGGCACAGAATCTCCTCCCAGCATCAGGAATAGGCCCCGAAAAACCTGCACCTTCAGCATCTGTGTGTCAAATAACGCTTTTTAAAAAAAGCCAATTGTGCATCGTGCATTATGTGCAATAAATAAAGAGTGCCAGTGCACCACGCTGACAGGCCTTAGGGGACGGAGTGCAAAAATATTGCCCCAGACTAGCCATAAGGCCTGTCTTGGAGGCGAAGTGCAGAAAATTGCAATGTGGTGTGTGACCGAGTGCTACAGTGAGTCATGTGGGGTCCCACACCCAAGTGACTTTCTGAGCACCCCTGGGACGCCACCTCCAGGGGGCACAACAACACGGGCTCTGCCGCCTCCCAACCCTCCAGCCAGACCAAGCTTTGCAGCCATTCCCATCAGAAGGTAGTGCCATCCGGGATCCATCCCTACCACCGGTGACAAGTCCAGCATAGTCCCTAACTGTAAACTGTCTGAGCTCCCAACCTGGGACAGCTATATAGAAATGAAGACTTTGAGAGCAGTGTATCTTAGAAGTGGCCACTTCCTGTCTGGGAAAACAAAAAATACACATTCAGTACAACACACATTTTCCTTTGTTTTAGTTGCTTTAGCCTTTTAAAAACAGCAGCAGGATTAGAATTGTGGCACCATATACATGATGATATCATCAGATCAATCTGTACATTTGCATAGGCCAGCCCCCCTGGATGCAGTTATATATTTGGCAGTTATCTCAGTATTTCCCTAGTTCCCTCAGCTCTTCAGTAGCCTCCTCTGTTTCTTCTCGGTGGCCTCCAGTCCCTCCACCATACAAGATGCGGTCTCTTGCTTTGTGTTTGTGTCTGTTTGTTCTTTTTCAGGTGTCCATGAACTGTGCAGAATTTGTTACCATTGACAATGGGGGACACCGAGGAGACTGGGGCGTCTTCGATGTTTGTCCCGAAGGGACCTTGGCAACAGGCTTTCAGCTTAAAGTAAGTTATTCCAAACATTCTTTTTTTTATTATGATTGTACAATATAGAAATGACAACTTTTATCTATACCGGCTTTTCTCAACCTGATTACCTTAGAGCGGTGGTTCTCATTCTCTCTAGGGCTGGGACCCCTTGGTAACATTTGTAAAGTTGTGGTGACCCCCAATGGTAAAATTTAGGGATGCACCAATACTAGTATCTGTGCAGGAGGCTGTTCAGGTTCTCAGGTGTTCTGTGTGGGCTCTCGGGTGGCTAATGGGGCTCTCAGGTGCTCAATGGGGCTCTCTGGTTGTCAGTTCTGCTTTCTGGTGGTCAATGTGGCCAGTGCAGGCTCTCTGGTGGTCAGTGCAAGCTCTCTGGTGGTCAGTGTGGCTCTCTAGTGGTCAGTGAGGCTCTCTGATTTCCAGTGCGGGCTCTCTGGCGGTCAGTGCGGCCAGCGTGCACTCTCTGATGGTCAGTGCAGGCTCTTTGGTGATCAGTGCGGGCTCTCTGGTGGTCAGTGCGGGCTCTCTGGTGGTCAGTGCCGGCTCTCTGGTGATCAGTGCGGCTTTCTGGTGGTCAGTGCTGGCTCTCTGGTGGTCAGTGCAAGCTCTCTGGGGTCAGTGTGGATCTCTAGTAGTCAGTGAGGCTCTCTGGTTGCCAGTGCGGGCTCTCTGGTGGTCAGTGCAAGCTCTCTGGGGTCA